ACGGTGACAGTGGCTGCTAGTTCGGATCTACTGGGCATCGGCTTCTGAGTCGATTAATGAGGGCGATGACATCCATGGCGGCCTGGAGAGAGAGAAATGACTACAGCGGCGGTGGCAATTCAAGCCACCACAGATGATGGTGCTTCGGCCATAATCGAGTTATGAATATGGATGAGTTTTCTTCGTCTCTTCATTCTCAATCTATAGAAACTGAATGCACCTCAATCGGACATTGGATGGCGAAGATATCACGACAAGAAGAAATAAGTATTTTTGAAACTTCCGCTGGCGATTGCAACTGATTTCAACATAGTTGAAGGTCTCTTCATTCTAAGATATCATTGAACTCAGCTCATCGATATCTATCTATTGACATTGATTGTGTCCAAAACAGAAGTCCGGATCTCAAATTGAGTTTTTGGCCATGAATGCTTTTAGAGAGAAAAAGTGTGAGAGGGGGGAGAGAGTATTGATTAGAGAAATCTATATTTTTGACTGAAAATAGTTAAAAATTAGCTTTTATTATATTTCTCACTTCTTTTCATTAATATTCAACTGTCCATAAGATTTCTTCCTTAGCAATCTAGTACTGTACTCCAAGCAATTTTGCAACACTGTAATTCTTAATCCCATAATAGAATCGTACTAATTTCAAATCTTAAAAATTAATTAAAAAAATATAAACCCGACTTAATCGACATAAGTTTCTAAAAATTAACATAATAGTTGACAGTGTCGATTCTCATGTTCGATTAGCATTTTTATCGAAAAATACCACCTGTGCAACTCCGATTTCACTATTTGACAATTAAGGACTTCTTAAGTGTTAGAGGGCTTGTTCTTTAGGAACAAAACTAAAAAAAAAGTTTAAACTCAAGTTACAACTTTATTTAAATTCATGTTCTTTTTCAAAATTTGAGTTTGAACTCGAGTTTTAACTTATGTTTGGAGCTAAAATTTGAGTTCAAGTTACCCCTTTAACTTAAGTTCCTAAACTCAAACTCAAGTTCCTAAACTCAAACTCAAGCTATGAATAATATTTTTTTCATTCTTAAAAACGCTATAACTTTTTCATTTTAATTTCGATTAAGATGATTTTTTTTCTATGTGTTCACAACGAAGAGTCGAATAAAACCCCACCCATATACCCTATTAAATTTTTTCATCACTATTGAGTTTTTGTTAAAATACTATATAAATACAAAGTCAAGTTTTGACCCACCCAAACACAAACTCAAATAAATTCTCAATTCAAACAATAACTCAAATGTGCACATTCAAACACAAACTCAAGTTACAATTTCAACTCAAGTTATTACTCAAATTTAACTCAAGATCTACACTCAAGTCACCATAACTCAAAAATGCAACCGAACAAGTCAAGAGTATCTCTCAATACACTGCTAGCACCGTACTGATCTTAAAAATTCTTATAATGAAAAGTCTCAAGTCTTTGATGGAGTGATATTTCTTCCGCCTTAAATCGTGGTAAGAGTTATCAATTAAATCGTTTCAATCATGAAATAAATTAACTTTAACTTAGAATTTCATATAACTTTTTCTTCCTTTTTTTTGGAATACTAATAATTCCGTAAATCCTTAAATAATAAGGCATGATAATTTCTAGGAAAAACTTTAACTTTACTTTTCTGTATTTTACCTCAGGAATGACATAATTACTAGCAATGTTAATTCCCGAGGCCGGATAGCATTTTGTTATTGAAAATGTTATTGCATAAATCTGGTTGAATTAATTTGGCAATTAAGGGCTACTTAACTGTTAGAATGTTTCTTATTACACTGCTAACACGGTACTATACTTAGAAATTCATCGAATTAAAATTCTTATTTTCAGACTCAAATTCTTTCCGCCTTAAATCACAATGAGAATTATTAACCAAACTATTTGATCACAAAAAGTGAATTTAACTTAAAACTTACTATAGAATTTTTTAATATTAATATTAATTCTATAAATCCTTTGTTCACGAAATCAAACATGATATTTTCTAAGAAAATCTTTGATTTAAATATGTAAATTACATTATTTAATTCTAGAATTTTCTTTAGTCATTACATTAGCGGGTTTATTATGAGATCAATAGAAATAATCAATCTATTGTCCTAAAATATCTTTTTTTTTCAAACATGTCTTATCTTTAAAAGCATTTACATAGGCTAAAATACTTTAAAACAGGCTAACAATGATATAGACAAAAATATTCTACCCTTCCAGTAGAGTTATACGGCTAGCTCCTCGTCATCCTAGCTCGACTTCCTTCGAAGCTCAACCCTTGTCGTTCCACTATTTTTGTTATTAAAATAATGTTCTAAGATTTAGACTTCATCATCATAACCAAATCAAACTCAATCATGTATAATTGTATCATACTAGTGTGCCTTTACCTAAGTCCAAAGTCCATAAACAATTTCATACTTCAAATCATGATTCTTTGAGAATTGAAACCCACACAAGAAAAATAGGATAGAACAAGGATTAATGCGGCTAATCCACTCACTTTGAGTTCTCAAATAAAGTTAGGTTGCTTCTACATTGAATCTTAGGGTCAAAACAGGGTTTTTAAGCATTTATGAGTCAAATCATGTGTGCACCTGTCGACTGGTGATAGAGAACTGTAACTCCACCAGTCGGCCGGTGGAGTGATGGCCGATCGACTGGTGGGGAGCAGACAGGCCAAAGAAAATAGCCGATCTACTAGAAAAAAACTCCAACATCTGCAAATCCAAATTCAATTTCGAAATATTTCAAAGGAAAACTATCAAATCCAAGTTCCAATCAAGAAATTGAGTTCAAAGAACCAAAATCCCCAAATCTCATCATGATTTCAACCAAAACCCATCTCAATAATTAAGTTTAAACTAAGGATTCTTCAACCAAACCAAAAACTAACTCCATCAAAGGAAAACTCTGAAATCAAGAGTAGTTTTTCAAAGAGTTTACCTCAAATCCTTCCTTTGCAAGGAGAACTCTTGAAAAATTTCTTTGGTTCAAGCTTCTTGAGACAAAATAACAAGTTTTGAGAGAAGGAAAGGGGGAGAGAGAGAGAGAGGGAGAGGGTGGCTGAGAGAGAGAGAGAGAGAGAGTGACGAGGGAGAGAGTGAGAGAAGAGAGAGAGTGAGCTGAGAGAGGAAAAGAGAGAAAAAGAAAGAAAAAATAAATAAAGAAAAAATAAAAGGATAAACATTAAAAGATATTTAGAAGAATGGATCAAAAAATGTGTCTCTACACACTTTTGAGGTGAAAATATAAATATTAAAAATGTATAAAATCCATAAAAATATTTAAACTTGGATATTAGAAAATATTCAATAAACTTAATTAATTAAGTAAATCGAATTAAGCACACTAATAAATCACAATTAATATAATTAAACATGTTTAACTCTTCGAGATATTACAGAAGTTGAGGATAAAATGGTAAAAATAAAAGTGAGGGGATACAGATGGAGTTCTTTGAAAGGTGAGGGACAAAAAAGACCAGACACTGTTCAAACAAAAAACAAAGCCTAGAAGCTTCAGTTCAACAGAAATGACCAAAACGCCCATACAAAAAACAATGAAGGAATAAGAAGCTAATGGCAAAACGGTAAAAGTAAAAATGAGAGGACATATACCAAATTTTTTAAAAATTTAGAAATAAAAAACACCGGATACTGTTTAAAAAACAATAAAAGAACTGCCTCCTATAGTATATAGTATATTGTTAGTACGCCATGGGAGCTTCTTCTTTATTCCATGTATCTTGGTCTGACTGCTTCTCACGTTTTCCTCCTCTTTTTCTTACTTCTGAGCAATTACAAGTAGCGAATATGGTAATTTTCAGACCCGTACTAGTTTATGTTGAGGAGATGGTAAATATTATATTTTATCTTATAAATACGACAACTAAGTAGTTTGTTAAAAAAAAGACGGAGTCAGATAGATATAAAGGGTGATAACCGTATACGTTTGATTGGAGGATTTAAATTATGTTATTCGAATTATTTTTAATTTATGTAAATTTTTTATAAAAGAAAATACTGTAACGAATCATGAATCATGATTCGAATCAGGGAACGAATCCCTCTACCAAACATAAATATGAGAATTAATTAAGCAGTAAAAAAATAGACGAGGTCAGATATAAAAAATGACAATGAAGAAATTCTATAGATCAATCTTATAAATATGAGAACTGACTAAGCAATTCTCTTAAAAAAAATAGACGGAGTCAGATATAAAGAGTGGCAATGAAGAAATTTTATTGATTAATCTTATAAATATGAGAGCTGATTAAGCAATTCTGTTAAAAAGATGGACAGTCATATATAAAGAGTGGTAATGATAAAATTCTATAAATTAATCTTATAAATATGAGAATTGATTAAACAATTCTGTTAAAAAAAATAGACGGAGTCAAATATAAAGAGTGGCAATGGAGAAGTTTTATAGATCAATTTTAAGTAGTTCTATGAGAAAAATTCTATAATGTCCCGTTTATTTCGTTAATTCGAGTTTAAAATTTGAGTTTTGTTACAATAAAAAGCTATCAGAAATAATCACATCTAACTTTTTTACTACAGTAAAATATTCTCACACAACATCACATCTCAACTCGAATTAAAAATTCAAATTAGCGAACCAAACGGGTCCTAATTGACGGGGTTAGATATAAAGAGTGGCAATAGAAAAATTCTATAAATTGAGGGGTAAAAGTTGTACGTTTTAAAATTCGGGGCACGTTGACACGTGTAAAATTTATAAAATTTGTCCTAAACCAAAAGTAATTTCTAGTAAACTTTGCCGAACAGAACTGGTATGACTGCTTAGTGAAGCGAGCTTAGCTTCCACGGAGGTAATTCCCAGCTGTCGGTGGAATCCAGTGGGGTCAGCTCTCAAAGTAATACCTTCCTCCGAGTCCAGCCTGTAAGTTCCCTTAAACATCGAACACCTCACACCCTATCGCCTCACCAGACCCGTAAGATCCACCGTCCACACTTCTCATACCCGTTCGACATTTAACCAAAACACGAATCCGAAAAAGACAGCTCCCCTAACGCTCATCAGATTCCCATAATTTCTTCTTCCTCTTCAGCTTCTTCTCATTCCATTCCTTGTAAACCAAACAAACAAAAAATAAAAATAAAAATTTGCATAAGAGAAAAAACCAGTAAAACCCTCGCCACTCCGATCTGAAATTCCTCCTCCGGCATTCTCCGCTTCCGATTTCCACTTTCCGGTAAGCAAATCGAACTCCATTTTCGACTTCGGTTGTTTTCTCTCTCGGCCGAAATTTCAGTTTTGGTTTTTCCGTTTTCGCAGGTGAAAATGGGGGGCAATCGGGGCATTTTGGTGGTACTGCTGGCGTTGGTGATGGTGAATCTGGCTCTGGTCGCGAACGGCGACGAGAAGAAGATTGTAGTGAAGAGGGTGAATGGGAAGAAGATTTGCACACAAGGGTTGGAGTGTAAGGAATCGGTTTTCTGTTGTAACCATACGATCACCGACATTTTTCAGTACTACCAGTTCGAGGATCTCTTCTCGAAGAGGAATTCGCCGGTGGCGAAGGCCGTCGGGTTCTGGGACTTCGAGTCGTTCATCACCGCCACCTACAATTACCAGCCGCGAGGGTTCGGAACCACCGGAGGCAAGACCAATCAGATGAAGGAGATCGCCGCATTCCTTGCTCATGTCGGCGCCAAGACGTCTTGTAAGCAAACTGGTTTAATCTCAATTTGTCGTTCTGTTTGGTGGCCGGAAAAATTGTGAAATAGGAAAGGAATTAGAAATGTTAATATGACTTCCAGTGACGAAGTTCTTCACTCAACTAAATTCGTTTATGGTTTGGATTATTTGCTTTTTTTTTCTTTTTTTTTTTGACAATTGCAATTGAAATGTGACATTTGTTGGTTCCTGAAGCTAGACAACTGAATTGTTCGGTTTGGATTGGTAGATTTCTTTTTTATTCATTTGGGCTAATTAAGTTTTAGTGTTCATTCTCCTAGCACGTTTATTATGATTTATGAGTTAATTAAGCCAAAATGGATTGAGTATTCTTAACATTGTAAGGAAATTGTATAGGGTTTGTTTAGGTGCTTTGCTTGTAGTATTGTGCGATAAGAAGGAAATTGAAATACAATTCTGGTATTTACATGTCTGTGGCTCGACAACTGAATTCTTTACTGGGAAACGCATAATTTGTAATGTGGTTTCGATTGGTGGATTTCTTCTCTTTTTTACTCTTTTTTGGTTAATTGAAATTGTTTATAATTAAGTAGACTTTAATTTGTTTATGACTCGAGGATTGACTGGATTTAGTTTTCAGAGGTTGGCCTTGGTTGGGAGGAAACTTGGAACTAAAATGAGCCTCGTTGGTATCTTTGTGTTTGAGTTTGAACCCTTCAAATTAATTTCCTCAGACCCAATGTTGTAATTAATTACGGATTTACTAATTTCAGGCGGTTATGGAGTGGCCACCGGAGGACCATTGGCATGGGGTCTATGCTACAACAAGGAATTGAGTCCTAGCCAGTCATACTGTGATGATTACTACAAGTTGACCTACCCCTGCGCTCCTGGAGCTGAATACTACGGTCGTGGAGCCTTGCCCATCTACTGGTGTGTATCCCTACGTCTCTTATTGTTCATTGCTAGAACTGCTATTGTGTCTTTTCTTTGTCTGTATAGAAATGCTTTGCAGTTGTCTTTCTGAACTCATTTTTAAGTAACGAGTTCACGGTTTTGTGAATAATTAATGCTATAGCGGATTACATTTTTAACAGGCTTTAGCATCTGCTTTCTTACATGAATAATTTTGAAATATCTGATAAAGTACATATTTCTGTGTGGAAGTGCTACCCATCATTGGGGGCTGCTAACTACATAGAAACTTACAGAGTTTTTTTTTTCATATGGCTGCTGAATAACAATTCCCATAAGTTTTTCCAGCATTTTTTCTCACAAACAATAAACCAATTGGGAAAGGATAGTTGATCATATACTGAAATAGTATGCTGAGGATGTTGTTGGTGGCGATGTTACAGGAACTACAACTATGGTAAAGCTGGAGAAGCATTGAAGGTTGATCTGTTGAATCATCCAGAATACATAGAACAGAATGCTACCCTTGCCTTCATGGCTGCAATGTGGAGGTGGATGACCCCAATCAAAAGGGGGCAGCCATCTGCCCACGATGCTTTTGTTGGCAACTGGAAGCCCACCAAGAATGACACTTTGTCTAAGAGAATTCCAGGATTCGGGACCACAATGAACATTCTTTACGGTGATCAAACCTGTGGCCAGGGTGACATTGACCCCATGAACACCATAGTTTCTCACTACCAATATTACCTTGACCTGATAGGTGTGGGGCGAGAGGAGGCAGGGCCACATGAAGTGCTAAACTGTGCCGAGCAGGTTCCGTTCAACCCATCCGCTCCTGCTCAAGCAGCTTCTTGAGGTCCCTATTATGCTGTTACCCGTTTTGTCCTACGTAAAAGAAAGTCGGATTCTGGGATTCGATACTTTCCAAAGGTGAAAACATAATAAAACGTGGTGAACTAAGATGCTTCCTTGCAGACATTTTCAACTCTTTTTGGTGTATGATGTTCATCTATTTGTTGTAGCTCTTTTGTTCGTGCTGTGTAGATTAGAAATTTATTTGTGTTAAAAACATTTCAAGGGTGTGTGGCTATTTGATATGTAATACCATTTTGTTCTTATGTATGTGTTTCAGTTGCAGATTTGTAAAGTTGATACTTTATACATATGTACTTCTATATATCGATACTCTATTTGCATATTTCACGCGTGCTTCTTAAGTAAACAACTTTAATGTTTTCTTTGTCTTGTCCGTTTTACCGATTTGAGTTTTTAATTTTAAGTTTCTACCATAAAAAACTCTTAAAAAATGTCACATATAATTTTTTTTATTACAATTAAAAATTTTAAAAATGTTACATCTCAGTTCAAATTGAAAATTCAAATCTGTTATTAGTGTGCTTTTATGACAATAGAGAATTGTATCTTTTTTGGATTTTATATTATGGTTATGATTATTATTTATGACATGACGATTTCTATTTTATTATTACATTATATTGCTGGAAGCTTAGTCTCTACTCTCCTTTATTAAGCATAATAATTTTTGCCCCCATTTTGCATGATGGTTTTGGCTGGATGCTTCGCGCTGCTTTTGAATTTCCCTTTAATTTAATACAACTGTGGTTTCTGTTAAAGCGTCGTTATAGCTTTGAATCATATAGAAAGGAAAAATGCTAATGGGACAATTTTTCTTTTACTGGACCTGTTTGTTTCTGTTAAAAGGTCGTTGTAGCTCTCAACCATATAATAAATGTTGACTAGAAAATAGTTTATAATTTTATTATTCGATTGAATTATTGTACTAATAAAAAAAAAAAAGGGGGTCATGTATAACTGTTGTTTTTAACAATTTACAGATCCACAGTTTATCTCAAGACTGATAAGAGTATGACCGATAAAATTGCAACATAATAATCTCTAATTAGTTGAAAGAAGCTGTAATATTTAGCAAATTTTTCAAGACTGAATAAATAAATGAACACAAGTTCCGTATCAAACATGTTTTGATAAATAATAGTCACTAGTCTTGATCATGGGTCATACTCTGTAGTCTCTCCTACCAGTCTTGATTTAAATGATTTGTTTATATATATATATATATATTTATATATTATAAAGGATTTAAAATGATTTGTTAGTTTAAACCATGTATTGTCGGCAACAACCATGTATGCCGACACCTGTGGATAACATAAAAACGACATGACCCATCCGTTATAATGCCTCAAAGAAGAGTGGAAATGTCTTCTTTAATTTAAGAGTGACAATTCGTCGGGTCGTATTCGTGTCAATTCATTTATTAATCGTGTTAAAAAATATCAATTAAAATATAATATGTTTATTAAATGTGTTAAAAATATTAACTTAAACATGACTCATTTATTAATTATATTAATCGTGTCGATCTGTATAACTCGTTTAAATTAATATAATAATGACTTATTTAACATGGACAAGACATGTTTAACATGTTTATTAGTCAACTTATCTTTTCTTTTAAAAAATTAATGAATTTTACTTACAAATATTAAAATTCACATTATTTGTATTTAATATTTCATATAAACTTTCATGTTACGTCACATATCATTATATTACAGATGACACATATAGTTAATCGTGTCAATTCGTGTTACTTCGTGTTAGGAGGTCAACTCTAACTCAACCCATTTATTAATCGTGTTAATCGTGTCAACTTTATTATGACTCAAATCTATTTATAATAAATCCAAACTCACTAATTTTATGTGGATTTCGAGTTGTATCGTGTCCTACTCAGATTGCTAGTCGTACTTTAATTCAGAGTAATTTGTATCTATTGTTGAATATATATCCTTTTAAGGGCTTCTTCTAACTTTGTTTGGATTCCATTTGAGTTGAATTGTATGGCTCATAATGTTGTAAGCTTTTAACATTCGCAAATGGATTATCATGTTGTGGGGACGAGTGTCTCATCAATATTTTATAATGTACGTATTTTTCATTTTCGATTTTCTAAAGTTGTTTTTTTTTTTCCTCTCTTTTTTACCAAGTTTATTTCTTTTTAATGAAATTCCAATTTATAAATGATGATGATGACAACAAACTTCTAGGTTGTATCCCAAGTAGTTGTTACTAAGAGTAGTAATTCGTGTTAGATTAATGAGTCGTGTTCGTATCAATCCGTTTATTAATCTTGTCAGAAAATATAAACTCAAATACGACATGTTTATTAAACGTGTCAAAAATGTCAACCTAAACACGACCCATTTATTAATCGTGTTAATCGTGTCAACTCGTATAATACGTTTAAATTAATATATTGAATATTTAATAATATAATAATGACTTATTTAATACGGTCATGACAGGTTTAACATGTTTATTGGTCAATTTATCTTTTTCTTTAAGAAAAATAAATGAATTTTACCTACAATATTAGAATACAAATAATATAAACTTTCATATTATATTACATATCATTAGATTGCAAATGAAATATATAGTTAATCGTGTCAATTCGTGTCACATCGTGTTAGAAGGTCAACCCTAACCTAACCTATTTATCAATCGTGTTAATCGTGTCAACCCGATTATGACCCAAATTCATTTATAATAAACCAAAACCCGTTAACTTCGTACAGGTTTTGAGTCGCGTCGTCGTGTCACTGTCCGAATTGACAACACTAATTGTTACAAATAAGAGAGATCCTAGTAACTTCTATAATTGCAAGTGCTGGCATGAACCAACGTGTTTAAACATTGATATTCTAGAAATTGGTACAAACTTTCGCTTCAAACCGAATGTAGTTCTCTAAGTAGTAATTAGTATCGTGCCAAAACTTCTTCAAATGCCCTTATTAGTTGTTATATGTTATTTAATTAATTGCTCTTTCTTATTGACATTAGGAGCAGATTAGGAGTTTTCAAGTGCATCACTTCGGTTACTTGAATAAATATGGATTCCTTTGAGCTAGAGCAATCTAGCACAGAATGCAGGTTTTCTCTCATTCACATCTCACGCCTTTATTTTAATTTTAATTTTAATTTTTTATATTTATTTATTTTTATATTATATATATATATATAAATATTTTTTTTCTGAATACGCCCTTTGTATGATAGGGAAAATGGAGTCATGTTCTTTAATGGGCCAGGTCTCGTTCACTTTGCGGATTCAAATTTTCAATTTAAATTGAGATGTAGCATTTTCTGAGAGCTTTTTACTGTAGCAAAAAAAGTTAGATGTGATATTTTCTGAGAGCTTTTTACTGTAGAAACCTAAAATTGAAAACTCGAATCGGTGAAATGAATGAGGCATAAAATTCTTCCTCTCCAGTCTAGAAGATATTAAGGATGATTAAAGAAAATTTTCATGTTCCTCTATAACATAAGTTTACGTATTCAATATAATAAAATATATTACTTTTGATAAAAGGCTTAACATGGGGCACAATGGTACGAGCAAAGTTTACATGTACATTTGTTGCTTTGCTTTTCGAAAACTCTCTACAATCTCTTTAAAATAATTTATTTTCTTTTTTCTGATCTAAAAATAAAGGGATTTAATTCAGAGGATCTAAAAGCATAACACGTGTCCCGCGATATTAAATAAAAGAAAAATTGCTTAGAGACACTACCACTAATAGAAGGCGGGTTCTATTAGTAGGTCTCACATTATAGGACTCACATTCTATTAGTGGATAATATTGAACAGCATCGGTGTCTAATAGTATTGCTCTAAATAAAATTGTTGCTATAATGAGATCTAGAGTTAAAACACTAGTGTCCCATTTCGTTCACTAGTTTGAATTTTGTTAATTTGAACTTTTGGATTTGAACAAAAAAATTCAAACGGTGTGATTTAAATTGTAGGTTCGATTAGCGTTTGGATGTACAGTTGAAGTTTAAATTTGAACATGGAATAAAATTTAAATTTGTGTTTGGTAGGTCTAAAAGCAGAGAGAGTGACCACATTTTTATTGTTCAAAAATGGTTTGAACGGTTGAACTTAAGGGAGAGTTAAACTCTAAGTTGGACTGTTTAACTCAGTTCAAACGGATAATATAATTCAAACTACATGCTTACCAAACATCAGTTTAAATTGATCTCACGGTTCAAAATAAGTTGAACTAAACTAAATCAGTGAACTCATAATTCACCAGTTCAATGTTCTGATTTTCACTCCTAACATTAATTTTTTAGGACTTGTAAAAATAGTCTCTTATTTTTTAGTCATCAAATCTATATCAAAATCTGTTATACTTTTTAAAACTGATGTGATTCTAACTAAATTCAACGGTAAAAAATGAAGACTATCGGTAGAGTGGACTAGTGGAAAAACTCCCTTCTTATGCTTCCTCTACTTGACATTTGATCATTTTCTTTCTATCCTACCAAACTTTTCTGTGCAAAATTTAAGGAAAATTTTCAAGCGTAGCAAAGATCACAAGTTTCAACCTACTTTTTTCTCATGGGAAAGCAAAACTATCTTTTATAACTTTAAGCAAAATTGCAACGTCCAAAAGCACTAAAATTGCGGCTTCCACATCATTAGCCCAGACTAGGCAAGTTTTTTTTTTTTTTTTTTTTTTTTGTCAGTGTGATCTAAATCTAAACCGATAATAGAGAGGAAAATCCTAGATGCTTTTATATTCTATAGCCACAAATTCAAGTGTTAAGAGTTTTGAAATTCGCAACATTCCACTAATTGCAAAGGATGGCGCTCGGGGCATATAATCATATATTCTCAAAAGATTTTGGAGATACTCTTAGCTGAACAGAACCCTCTCCACTGCTTTAACCAAATATATATATATATATATATACTTATGTAGATGTTTGCATTTTCCAAATGTGCAAAGTAACACACTTTTGTATAATGTTAGTTAGAGGACTTGTATATGTATGTTGCTTAATTAGTAATTGGGAATTCGTAATTGTAAACTAGGAAACTAAGCAAAAGAGATGAACTTTTCTATGCTAATATCTGTGTATAAATGGCAAAAAAGATTTTTTTTTTCTTTTTTTTTTTTTTTTTAAGGATCCGTATTGGATACAAAATTGTTGAAAATGTTTGAGTGTGAAGTAACAAAAAGGAGATTCTCACACGTGTCTTGAACTTTAGAGTTATTCTCAATTTAGCCTCAAACTTTAAAAACCATCACTTTTTCCTCTGAATTTTAAATTGGGTAAAAAAAAAAAAAAAAAAAAAAAAAA